GCCCGCCCCTGTGACAGCCGTCGCGTTTGTCCCCAACCGCTGCAGAAAATGGGCGTGAACTTCACGGTGAGCAACAAGGACACGGTGAAGAGCAGCGACGTCCTCTTCCTGGCCGTGAAGCCCCCCATCATCCCCTTCATCCTCGAGGAGGTGGGCCCCGACATCGAGCCCCGCCACATCGTGGTCTCCTGCGCGGCCGGTGTCACCATCAGCTCCATCGAGAAGGTGAGGGGTGGCGGGGCCGGGGCCTGCGCCCGCAGCCCTGCACAGCCGGGCCCCCCCGGGCCTGGGAAGCGTCGCCGCGGGGCAGCGCCGTGCGGGAGCTGGTGCGAGGGACGGGCGTTCCTGGCGCTCCCCGGGGCTGAAGTCGCGCTCAGCCCCCTGGTTGCTTCGGGTCGCCTCTGCCGGGACTCATCAGAAAGGGCTGTAAGAGTCTGTATGTCAGCTCAGGCCTTACAGGTGGGGCTGTCAGGGCGTTTTTGTTCTGCAGAGGTGGGTCGTCTCCCCTGAGTTTCTGCAGACTTTGTGCTGAATGTCTGCCCGATGGGGAGTTGATGTGGGAACGAGGGGTTCAGGCTATTGCTCCCGACAGCAGCTCTGCCCACTTCCCGGTTTGCTGGTACTACTAAACACGTTTAAGATTCGGCCGCTCTGGCTGAGAGCAGGGAGTCTGGAGTACAGGAGCTTGTGTTGTTCTTGCCCCTGGGGAGTTCTCTCCTAAACAGCCTATTTGGTGTGCCAAACATGCACTAAAGCTCATTTTTCTCTCTTTCTTCCTTCCTTCCTTCTTTCTATCCAACAATTTCCCGCCCTAAGAAACTCTCTACCTTCTGCCCCACACCAAAAGTGATCAGGTGCATGACCAACACCCCTGTGGTTGTCCGGGAAGGTGCTACAGTCTATGCCACGGGGACTCATGCGGATGTGGAGGATGGGAAGCTCTTGGAACAGCTGATGGCCAGTGTCGGCTTCTGCACCGAGGTGGAAGAGGACCTGATCAACGCTGTGACGGGGCTCAGTGGCAGTGGCCCTGCCTATGTACGTGCTGCATCCGCAACTTGGGACGGTCCTGGGGGGAGCAGTAGGCTTTGCATGTGGTGAAAGTGTGCAGCTTCAGTTTGCTGTTTCTTGTTTTTCTCATCACTCACATTCGTGATGGGACACATAATCCAGGTGTCCAGTTTACAACCAGTTTGGGTCAACAACAAAAGTCTGTTACCAGTCGGATGAGTCTGAAGTCCGTAGCCAGCGTGCAGTGTCCGCGTGTCCATGTTGCAAGACGTGGGCCTGTAGTTAGTTTGACCCAGAAGCTGAATTTCTGCCATTTCTGCTCCACTCCTGAGCTGGACTAGTGGGAGGGAAGCCTGGTGTGACACCCGTGCAGTAAAGGGGGAAGCTTTGGTCAGGCCTGTAAGCAATAGGAGTCACAGTGTGATCCCGGGGCCCTGAATTCTCTCTTTTCTGGGATTATCAGTCTTGGAGCAGTGACTCAGTCACCTTCTTCCTCTGTCTGGTCTCAGGCGTTCACCGCCCTGGATGCTCTGGCAGATGGGGGAGTGAAGATGGGGCTTCCCCGCAGGCTGGCTGTTCGACTTGGCGCGCAGGCTTTGCTGGTCAGTATTTCCTCCTCCAGCACACATTTGAGGCTGTGCCTGCTCTGTGCAGAGTGTTCACATCACGGTTTGAAGCTGTGTCAGTCCTCTTACTGAATCTACTTGAAAAAAACACGTTTGATTTGACTGCACACAGGTTCCTGGGGAGGGGACGTAGGAAGTGTCTGCAGCAATCTGCTGGCGCTGGTGGTGGTGTGGGAGCTGGGGCCTGGGCAACCCTGACTCCTCCACAGGCTTTTTCAGCTCTGAAAAGTGTTTTGGCAGCTTGCTAATGGCTCTCAGGCAGGAGCCCAGCCCACTGTGAGTGTTAGGTGCTGCTCTGTGCAGGGGAGAGCGGGGGTCTATGGCAGTTCCTCAGTCAGAGCTCTGGAGCTGGTTTCTCTTCCTCGTTACAGGGTGCTGCTAAAATGCTGTTAGAATCTGAGCAGCATCCTGGTCAGCTGAAGGACAATGTCTGCTCACCCGGGGGAGCCACCATCCATGCCCTGCACTTCCTGGAGAGTGGGGGCTTTCGCTCGCTCCTGATCAATGCTGTGGAGGCTTCCTGCATCCGGACTAGGTGGGCACCTCACATATAAAGACCCTGCGAGAGCTGTGCCCCGCGCTCTCTGTATCTTCCCTTTGCTATGTCTTGTCTTTCTCTCCCACCGTCCCATTGCAGGGAGCTGCAGCACCTGGCAGACCAAGAGAAGATCTCCCCGGCAGCCATAAAGAAGACTTTGTTGGATAAGGTGAAGCTGGAGTCTCCTTCTCTGACCATGGCCTCTGCCAGCAAAGTCAGTCTGTTCACCAGTAAGAGCCCCAGCAGCAAGAAGAACTGAGCAGGCTGCTGTGGTCTGGCTGAACACCAGCTTCCTCCACACCCTCTTTTTGTCCAGGGAAGAACACTGACCCGTGGTGTCCCCACGCCCGGCTCGGGGCTGGCAGCCGCGGTACAACGGGGTCTGTAACCTCTGTGGGCCTGGTGCGGCCTGTCCCCGGCGCTGCTGGTCCCTGTTGGGCAGGGGGGATGCCACCGTCAGAGCTTCCTCAGAGGCACTCTTTGTCCAGAAGCCTCATACTCCCAGGACGTGGGCAGTGTTTATGGTATCCCATGCAGAAATGGTTTCTAATTGGATTTTTAAAGAAGTTTCAGAATGTCTTTTGGTTTCCAAAAGGGGTTTGCATCCCTCTTACCCCATCCCACATCCATGGTCAGAGCTCGTGTCCCACCGCTGTCTGTTAGCTAGAGCAGGTGCTGCTGCCAGAGGCAGCCCTGTGTGCCCGGGCTGTGCCCGGCGTTAGGGGCTGGGCCCTAGAGCACCTCTTACAAGGGACCAAAGTGCCTCTGCCCCATCCCTGTCTGCCTTGACTTTTGAAAGACAGATGGTGTGAACCTCTGGACCACGCTCTATTTCTCTCTTGCTGCTCTCTCTGGTTTGGGGAACCGTGAACTGCTCTCGCTGTCCCTCCCTTGCTGCTCGCCTTGCTTGGGTGCTCAGGCAGGTGGGGGTGGGGTGTGCTGCTTTGCCCTGTCTCTGACAGCTCTTCCTGCTCTCCATGGGCGGAATCTGCTCCCGCACACCCATGGACGTGTTTCAGCATCACTGCTCCCTGGTGCTGTCCTTGTTCTTTGCCCGGCTCCTGGGGCAGCTAGGAGCAGAGCTGAAGTCAAGGGCAAGCTCCTCCAGACAAAGCTGCCTTCTGCACCCTTCCACTCGAGCAGGGTTTGTCCCCAGGTGCTGAGCTGCGTGGCAGTGGTGCCGCTCCTTGCACGGGGCTGTGCCTGCCCCTGGGCCGCAGGCGGGTGCCCGCTGAGGCTGCTCTGCCCCCGCTTGTGCCACCCCGCTGCGCTGTGGCGGACTGGTTGTCCCTCCCGGACAGGGTTTCTCTCAGCAGAGCCCCCGGGCTGGTGAAACCCAGCACCGCAGCCCTCGGTGTCCCCTTATGTTGGCACAGCCACACCTCTGGTATTTTCTGGACCGTTGCTTTTTTTCTTCCTGTTTCTCTGAAGGTGTTCCACTGCTAATGGCTAGAGGGGGAAAACACATAGAAAAAAGTTCAGGGCTGCTTCAAGCAGTTGCATTCCTACTTCTTTAGAATACAAGACTAAAGGGAAACACTGAGTCACCTGGTCTGGCCTGTGGCTCAGATCTTGTCCCACCTTGCCTAGCTTGTCCTGCATGAGACGCAGGAGGAATGTCAGTCCTTGGTTGAAACGGAAGAGGTTCAGGGGGCACTTGAGGATGCCCAGTGCCTGTACAACAACAAGGACTTGGTGGAGGAGGAAGACCCTTGCTGTTCTGGTCTGCAGAATTTCCCAGGTCTGACTCACATTTATGAGCAAGAAATAGCAGCGAAATCTGGGGTGAAGGAGCAGTGGTCTCTTCGGCCCCTGAAACTCCAGTATCTGTGAGGGAAGGAATCCAGGCAGGGTGGTGGTGGCAGCAGGCAGAGGGGCCCTGCTCGTCCCTTCTGCCAGGGGACACGGCCCGAGCAGTTGTACCCCCCAGGCCCATTGGGGAGAGGGATGAGTGAGGGCTGTGGACCCAAGGGGCAGAAGGGACCAAGGCTCTGATCAGATGGGAGGCAGGTTACAGCCTGTTGTCTAGGTCAGTTAACCTTTTCTGCAGGCACTATTTTCGGAGCCAGCCCCAGGACAGCAGCAGAGAGGAGACTCCATCCACTGCTTTCTGTGATCTCCATAGCCACTGCCCCTGCCTGGCTTCCTGGCCTCTGCTTTACTCCCAGAGCCGGAGTCCGAAACTTGAAAACTGCATGGTATGCCAGCTGCCTGTGCCACCTGGACAGGGCTGCAGGGGAGAGCAGGCTGGAGGGGGTGGAATGAATTTGGGTGGGTAACTCGTACTGTGTTCTACCTTGAGGTATACTGGGGGAGCACTGGTAAGAGGACATTTAAAATGGGCTTGTTGTCTCAGAGGGATCTCAGACACGCAGGAGATGCAGGAAGAGCGTTTCTGTATTGATGCAGAGGCTGCCAAAGGTGCTAGTAGTGTTAAAGCATTTTTAGTGTTTAGGCTTCTGCTGGTAGCAGGGTATGACCCTATAAGCACGACAAGATGGTTTCTTCTTTCTTTACGTAATAAAGTGCTGCTCTGACAGAGCTATGGCTAATCCCGGCTGTCTGGACTGGATATATCTCTTGCCTCTGGCAGTGGCTGTTGTGGCCTTGTTGCCTGCAGTGAGTGTGCCTGAAGGGTGCTGCAGACCCGGCTTTGGGGCTGGTTTGTCTGGTCATGGGACTGGGAAGCCTGTCAGCCCATTGCTGTCACCCCTGGTTCTGAGCAACAAAAGCTTTGCTGTGGCCTGTGCTACCAGTTTGTGGAGATTTAGAGAGAAGGAGGAAAGTCTTCTGGCTGGAATTGGACGTGAATAACTTGGAGTATTAATCCTTCTCCCAGTATCCTGGCCCTTTAGGCTTTCTGGTGGTTCTGCCACTGCATAGGGGCGAGTGGGTGCTGCACGTCCCTCCATTTCCCTGCTCGGGAGCTGTGCACCCCCTCAGACCGCGCTGGGAGTCATGGCTCGAGCACCGCCTGATGCAAAATAAGAGGGAGAGTCGCAGAAAGTTTCCTCTTGGCTGGTAAAGTGCGACGCAGAGTGAAAGGTGGGATGGCTGAGCTTGAGCCCTCTGCGGGGGACAGGGCCTGCCGCAGCGTCCCCCCGAGCGGCAGAGCTGCCGGTGCCCGTAGGGCTGTAGCCGCTGCCTGGCACGGCGGGAGGAGAGCCCGGCTGCACCCGGGACCCGCGCTCCGTGCCTGCGGGACAGCAGAGGAGAGCGGGCCCGGACCGCTCCTCGGGAGCCGCCTTTCCCCGTGCCCGGCCTTGACTCCGCAGGCCGCGCTGCACCTCCCGCGCGTCCCTTGCCCTCTGGTGTCCTTCCAGCGCCGCTTCCTCGCAGCTGGGCAGTAAGTGCAGGGGGTGGGGGGGTATCGCTGTGTCGGGGACCCGCAGGCAGAGGGAACAGCAGGACACGGGGCCGAGCCCGGGGAGCTGCTGCACGGCCCCTCCTTCGAGTCGCCGCTCCCCCGCGCAGGTTCGGGGCGCAGCAAAGGGCGCTGCGGGGAGGGGGAACGCCCGTGCGGGGCTGGCGGCCGCGCTCTGCCCTTCCCCGGGGCCCGGTAAAGACGAGGGACGCGGAACGGAGGGGCTCGCCGCGTCCCC